AAACTGTGCTTTGCTCGACGCGAATAAAAGCGCACGATTGCCTTAAAGCGATAGTTTCGAACGCGCTGCTTCGGGCTTGCTCTTGATAAAGGATACCGATCCACCTACTGGCGCGAACTTTTCCCTTTGCTTGGCAAACAGTTGTCCACTGGATTTTTCGCTCGTCTCTTTTCCACGAAATTCTTTCTCTTTGGGCTTGTCTCTCCTCCCCCCACTTCATCGCTGGTTCCCCATATCCAACGGCGGTTGTTCCCTAATTAGAAACTTTTTATAGTTAATCGAATTAAGTTAATCGATACGAAATGTAATTTCAAGTGGCTCGATTTCATACTTTGTTTCTTACAATTCGAGCGACGAGTTGTCTTCCCTTAATAAGTTAATAACTTAAGTTTACCTTTCTTCTCGAATTTTTTATGCATTTTGTACCCTTTTTTTCTAATCTTTCAAATTACGTGTATCACTCGTCTCTCGCGTAATTCCAAATGGGTCCCGATTTCATACTGTTTCTTACTGCATACTGAGAGAATGGACAATTCGAGCGACGAGTCCCCGTCGTAATAAGTTAATAGGCTAAGTTTATCTTCCTTTGAATTCTGTTTGCACCCTTTGCCCGTATCTTCCAAATTACGTGTATCGCGCTCGTCTCTCACGTATAATTTTATTCACGCAATCTCTGCGTCTTTCTTCTTTATCCTCCGTTATCGTACGCTCTGCATCTTTCTGCTCTTTTCACCCTTTCACATTTTGCACTCTTGCACTGTTTCCGCCCTCTGTCTCATACCTCATTCCCCGGTGTCGAATCCCTCGAAATATCTATAACACAGGGTGAGGGGGAAGGGGGGAGGGAGGAGAGGCGTACTTTTATCTGCCGTTACACGGCCGTATCGAACGGCGGGGCGGAAAACAAATGCGCGGCCGAGCCGTTCTCCGCATAACGTAAAAATAATACGGCGATACGTTGCCAATGTATTACGAATTATGTAAAAGTAAAATTTGAATTTTAATTAATCGGACGGGGGCGGGAAAAAGCGTTCGGTGTACAGTATCCAGTAATTACGCGACTGGCCGGTCGGGGTTAGAGGGGTAGGGGGCGGTTATAGGCACACACATAGAAGGGGGGAGGGGTTGCGCGGATGGTGGCGAGTGGCGGACGGGTAAAAATTCCGTGCGATCGTCCGCGAAACGCAGCGTAATAAATATATTTGATTTCCGCGATGTTTCGCGCTGCATAGTTCGAATTTTGCTTTTATTTTTTATCGGACCACGCGCGCGCGCACACACACACGCACACACACGCACACG